AAGAGACCTGTCTGAAAAAGGAAGGGGTGAACATCAAGGTTTTTAGGAGACACACATTCTTTAAGGAAGACAAAAAAACACGTAGCATGGGAAGCAAGTAACAACCTGCAAGTACAGAGCTAGAATTGTAAGCAGCTGTAGCTTTGAGTTTCCCCAGTTTGGTCTGTGTGGCCATTACAATTCCTTCTGGCCTGATATGAATTTTGAGAAAGACAATACCGTGCGACCCGTTTGGTAATTTCCACCTCAGAGATGGGCCACTCCAAAAAAAAGTGATAATTTTAAATATAAATAAAGGCTAAAACCAGAGTGATGCTTGCCAGAATCCCTTGAGTACTTCAAAAGAACCCTGTTTTTTTGAGTGGCAAAAATTATTGACAGGAGAGAATCAAATACTCCTACATGGGGGCAAAGCAATTAGTTGGTGAAGAGGACAGCTAAGGGTCCACGTAGCAAATACCAGCAGAGACTCATTTGCTCATCCAGTGTTTGCACGGCCTCACTGGACTTGAGTTCTTTCCCCTGAAATTACGGCATTTTAGTCCACACAGCTATCTTTAGTTCTTTAATGAGATCACTTGGACAATTACTAGCTCGAAGCTCTGTGAAGTCTGTAAGGGGTTAGCTGAAGACCCCTGCTGCAGCATAAGCTCTCTCTTGTATTTTTGACTCTAATAGTTAGAGCTGCACATGCAAAAAAAGGGCCAACAAATGCTTGATGGCTCAGGACATGCAGGTAAATGAAAGTCTGACAGTGGAAGTGATTTTGAGCTTCGGGCTACAGTTTTATTAGGGTAATACTGAGGAGGTGTATGATACGCTCTCACATTTTATATGGTCATTTTTCTGGTCCAGTAAAGGGGGTTACAAGACTTCCACAGCACAGTCAAACACTGAGGTATATTCCTCCACAGTCCACTTTAAGACCTGACTCACTTTCAAGTCCCCTGACTCTACGAGAGGATGAAACACCGAAGGACCTGTTTGTGCCACCAGTGTGAAGGGGAGGCCCTGTTTAGACTGAATATTAGGAAAAATTTTTTGACTGAAAGAGTTATGAAGCATTGGAACAGGCTGCCCAGGGAAGTGGTGGAGTCACTGTCCCTGGTGGTGTTCAAAAAACGTGTGGATATTGCACTTAGGGATATGGCTCAGTAGGCATGGTGGTGATGGGTTGACAGTTGGACTTGGATGATCTTACAGGTCTTTTCCAACTTTAATGATTCTATGATTCTAAGAGCTTAGTTGCACAGCTTGCAAACCACTCCTCAGTTTTCAGACGCAGCTCCTGTCATTGTAACCTGGGAGGTAATGGCTGCCTCTGGCAAGCCCAGTAGCCAGTGTGTGCTGGGGAGACCTGGCAGAAGAAGCCCTGCCGCACCGCTGGCAAGAGTCGGCCTGGATCCTGGGAAGGGAGGTGGAGCTGCAGGGGAAGAGGATGGCATGGACCAGGCATGTAGACCAGGCATGGAGTCAGTCCGGTACAGACTGACTGGGGCCACTTGGCTGCCTTTTGGGAGCAGCCATCAATGGCAAGGAGCAGATGGTATCTGGGATGTGTGGCTTGTGCTTGGCTGAAGTCACAGCTGAGACCATGCAGAACAATAACTCCATCTTTGCCATTTCCAACCAATGCAACGTCTGGTTTGGGGGAGGACAAGCTGCTGAAAATGAGGTCACTTTCAGAAATATGCCTAAAATGTGGATGTAGGAAACGAGATACCATGTGTTTCATTTTCCTGGCTTTTAATCTATGAAAGGTGGACACATTTTGCAACAGACTTCAAGTCTGTTACTGAAAGTATGAGTTATTCACCTTTGGGAGCTAACTCTTGGTCATTTGCTGTACTGGAGAGTAGTCACAGGTGATGACAAACTACATGTTCTTCCACCTTCTCTAAACATTGCATTTCCTTAAGCAGAAAACCCTCAGTGACCTGGTCTCTAGGCATACCCCATAAAGGCAGGACAGCTGAAAGACCAAGCATTTCTATACGCCGAGGAAGAAGCATGTGGTCCACCTAGCCACACACATCAACCATCTAAAAGGTGCATCAAAGCCAAAGAAGGAAGTGAAGTGTTTGGCTGTGGCAATTTTGACATATGCTTCCTTCTGCACCCTCTTCTAGCTGGTCAGTGACTGAAGCATTGTATTTCCCCAGCCCCACTGTGGGTTTTTCATTGCTTTTCCTCAGGCTTGGGTTATTGCCCTTTCCAATTGCTCTGGGGCAATGACACTGCTCCCTACCTGTGGCACAACAGCCGGGCATCTTGCTGCGCTATGCAGATTGGGGAGTGGAGTGAGAATTATCTATTTAGGTACAAAAAAAAAATAATGGATATTTCATTTCAACTTGCTGGCTTGCTCCTGGCAAGCCAGAGTGGGAAGATTTCCTGACATACCAAATGCTACTTGGAGCAGCAGCTGAAATGTGTAATTTAAAATTTATATGTGATAGCCTCCCATATTACAAAAATTAAAATACTATGAATCATCGCATCAGAATTCTAGGTCACTGTTATTCCCAGATGTAAGAGTTAAAAATCCTAATGAGTTTTTAAAGTGAAAGTTATTAAAAGTTATTAAAAATAACTTTCTAGTTAGGAAGTAAAACTTGATACTTAAATGCCAAGACACCACTAGGGATAGTTGCTTTTGTATCTTCTGGATCACAATGCAATGAGTTTCAGCTGGAAATATCTTAAAACTTTCTCCAGATATTAGGAAAAACAAGCATAGGAATGAAATTCCTGCTCTCCCAAAGTCAGTGGGAGCTTGGCTGGAGACACTGAAGGGAGCCAGAATTCAACTACGGGAACAAGATTCTGATGAGCTCTACAGTTGAAAAATAATTACACTGGGAATACTCTTCTGCTATAGTAGCTTGAAAATAAAAGCAAGCCCTAAGTTTCCAAATAACAAAAAGGAAAGGTAAATCACATATTCATAAGATGGGGAAAAGGCTGGGAACAAACAGTACTTTCTTTAAGACAGCCTGTTCTATCCACACTCTCTAAAACACCCACGTTGAAGGCCAATGGCCAAATTTGCTATCATGTTACAACAGTATCCAGAAACCTTATCAGGATTTATCCCTCATTTTGTAATGTGCCGTACTATAGAAAGAGGGAGTCTCTCAAGACTTTTTGGCAACTCATCTTTAATGGAAGTGAAAATGTAATAAAAGTGGGGAGACCTCAGGAATGCAGCTATTCCCACTCCAGCCTCAGATGTTGCAATGAAGTGCTAGTGCTGTATTCCTTACAGCACACAAAGTAGTAGAATGAAACACAAAAGCAAAGGTTAGGGAAAGCTTTCCTTCCTATACCTCTTGACCTGAACTGAAAGTCTGTGCAGAGCTTTAACACTCTAATAGAGAACTGACCAATTCTTGTCGTGCTGATTTATAGGAAGGAAACTTAACAACAGTGGTGGAGATACCACCCCAGCATTTGTACTCTGCTTCGGCTACTCTTTGGACACTGAAGTCCTTTTGAAGACTTGATAACCCTCCCTGCACCAAGACTGTTGCAAACCAGCTGTAAGGCTGCAATCTGACTTTCAAAACTGAATATAGAAAATCTTAATAAGGGCTTTACCATTAACCTTTAGAGAACATTTAGATCTATGCCTGTAAATTCAGTTTTGCAAGGGGTAAGACTTAATCAATCTCACCATTTTCAGAATTACAGGCAAAACCCTCTTTGATTTACTGTCCTCAACGTTTCCCAACCAAGCATAATGAAACTATTCACTTTCATTTATAGGCTTTCTGTAGAAACTAATCAAGCTAGTCCTTCGCTAAATATAAGAAGGAAAGGAAGGAACAGATTTTTCCCAACATCATTACTAAGTATTTGGGAAATATTCAGATTCAGTTATGACAGGAATATACAGTCACGAAGCCAGACTTTGCTCTCATCTCCACTTCCTCACTGTCTGATCGTGGTTGCACGAGGTGTAATCTCCACATGTATTAGGGGTCTATATACATATACACACACACAGATACAAGCGTAGGTACGGAGACAAATAAGGAGGTAATCATATTCTATTTCTGCAAAGCAATTCCAAATCTCTAGATGAAAATCGCTGAAAATGTACAAGCTATCACCACAGCAAAAGCAGTACTGGTTGACGCAGCTGCCTGAAAGAGACCCTGCATCCATGCATTGGCACAAACACAGAACAGCACCAGACAAATGTCAGCACTAGCAGTGTGGTTCAGCCCGGATCATTCTGGTTTCTTCAATGAAAGGTTTCAAACGAAACATACTAAGGAATTCAAAATACTGAAGGAAAGAAATAGGACAAGTAGGGAAAAGGCAGCTTTTGTGTATGGTTATACAATTTGTGACCTTCAAGCTAAAGCAGCAAGTAAAAATGAAACCATAATTACAGAGTATTTCTGGTGTAAAATTCTATTAACTGATGAGAAATTTGGAAGCAACAAATCAGATAAGAAAATGCCATAAGATGGATATGAAATGTTGATTTTCTTTATAGGATTAAAAGATGCCCATTGTTTAACCATACCGGGAAGTATTTTTTGTAAGCCATCCCAGGAAAAAAATACGACAACCAGAAAGTATTTTGAATATTCTTTCCACACTCTCTGAGCTTTTTCTGTTTTTTTCCCCTTCAAGCAGATTGTAAGAGATTTAAGCTTGCTTGGGGACAGATTACAGAAAAAAAATAATACCAGTCGTAAACTATTTAGGGAGTGAATTACTGTCTCCCTTTTATTTGGGATTAGATACACTTAAACAAGATCAGTAAGGGACTTTTTCAGGGAAAAAAAAACAGTGGCTGTCAAGAAGAAACATTTGCTATACCTAGAAAATGAAATAGTTTTCTACTCAGAATTAAAGATAGAACATACAATATAGATAGAAATTAAAGCAAAAGTGAAACATTTTTTAGATGGAAAATACCCTAAATTATTTATGTCTCAAAAACCAGGGGAAACTGCTATGCATAAGAAAAAAAGCGCCTGAAATCCCAAAGAACTTCTGACTTCATGTTTGAAATCTAACATTCTGTAAGATGGGGCCTCGTACTAGAAGATGACATTACTGTTGAGGTGTAAAACTGAGTGGTGGTCATCTGAAACAGAAATTTGTTCAGGTCTTCTGAGAAGAAAGTCTTCCCTGGTTACAGCTTCTTGTATTAAATTTACCCCTCTTTGTTATATGATTTTAGGTTTGCTGCATATTTTTTTATTTTTTCTTAAACTGATACAGGAGAATAATGATTCCAGCTGCATTCGACCAGGAAGCACCACCTTTACCAGTGATCTACATGAACATGCTCCAGAATAATTTAAATTTCCTAACTTTTGCCAAGCTGTCGCTTTTGAAGTTGTGAATCATTATTAATAATTATCATTTTGTCCTTACGTTAAGGACAATACAACTGGCAAGAAATCATGTAGCAGTCTGGAGCCGAATAAGTGTTCTTAAGAGTCCTACCTCTTCAGAAACCACCTTGTTACTATGGGAAAGATATAGGATGGTGTGCTGGATTGCCTCCAACACTTCCAAGCAGTCCCTGCAGAACAAAGTGGGAGTCCCACCACCGCTGCTCAGCAGAGAACGAACAGGAGCAGCTTTGGTTGCTGTTTTGACTATGTTCTGGAGGACAGTGAGAAAAGAGCTTGACTGGTGTCACAAAATACCTATGAAAAGCTTACTACTTTACTTTCATACTCCCAGCAGCCCAAGGAAGGTTGAAATCTGATCTGATATTCTGTTTCACGGTCTCGTTCATTATGTCTTGTAAAAAATATCCTGAGTATTGTCCTTGTGTGTATCGCCTACCTATGATTTCCCAAAGAACCATGCACCAGGTGGAGACAGATGGAGCACAGCATGCTTAACCACTGCCCCTCCCTATAATCAGTGTGCCTCCGACATTCGGGGCAGTAGGAAGGGAGGCACAAGAGCTGGCTTACATCACCTCCACATTGCCTGGAGAGATGTAGACCATTTCCACTATCTGTGTGCCATCTGAATGCAAAGAAAGGCGAACAAGGTAAATTAATTGCCCTGATATATTGACTGTGGCTGTTCAACATGTTTCAAATGTTTCAACTGTGGGCTAAAAGGGTCGGACATCGTCGGTGTACATGTAGATACAGACGGTTGCACACTTACAAAAGGATTTTTTAACATCAGCCAAACTGAAAAGGAGGAAGCATGAGGAAAATGTATGTAAGTAATGAGGTGAGAACACTAGTCTCAGCTTTCTGAATTCCCATGTAAGTACAGTGAAATTTCACAAAGAAAGCATTCCTTTTTTTTTTTTTTTTTAGTTTCAAGGACTCTACAGCACAGCAATATCTGTATATTTAACTAATGTGACAAGTTTGAGTGTGTCCTAATCAAACCTAATCACCCCTACTTTCTACTAGGTACTACACTGATCAATGGAAAAGCTTTCTAGGCAATAACTTGCAAAATGATAAAAGCATTTACCATCATTATTTTCTGCTTTTGACAATGATCTATGTCTGTACAGCTCATCAGTCATCTCTTGTAAAAACAGCACGGCACTTTGATCAAACAGCCAACAATAGCTTCCCGCGTAAGGTGAAATGTTATGAGAGGGCATCAGATAGAAATCACATTTTCTCTGAACAATAGAAACCCAGAAATGATGTGCTTGATTTACTTGCAAATAAAATCATGTGAAAGGTGATATCTTCACACAGGTTAAACAGACAGTGATCCTTTTATTCACCTTTCTGGGCGTTAAACAAACTTCACTGTCACGTTGCAACTGAGATGGAGTGTCTTAGCAGTGATAAAGAGGCACATTCCAGCTCTACGAAACATAACTGCCACTGTTGAAAAATTACCTGCATTAAACCTTACACTTATCCCAGATTTTAAGAGCAAGATGTGGGAGTTTGATTTTGATTACAAGCCTCTGTCTGTGTGGTAGGCAAAGGTCTTTAACCTACGCGTTCTGAATGTACTAGGCACATAGCTTCATCAATGTCATGCCTCATTGGGTCAGTGTAGGATTTTATCTAAAACCTGAGGCTTTTCAGTTTACACTGTATATGCAAACACAACCTTTTACTGGTGCTCTCTGCCTTTTGTTTCACTGAGAGGATCTATGGTATTTATAGAAAAGGGAGCTGGAGGCACCTTAAACTTATTTTACTTAAATTCCTGTTGAGTCGAGGTCTTCAAAAGAGAAAGGTTGTTTATTTGAAGACTGGTGTGTGCCAGAGCCAGTGGAGCTGAACACTTGTTAGTGTTAGAAAAATTGCCACTCTTCCTTTTCTACTCTGGCTTTCCTCAAACCTCTACTGATTGCAACAACATTCATTTTTAAGAGGACTGACACAGATTGTCTGCTTCTGAACATAAATTGAAGTAAAACATATTATCCCAATTAACGTTTGCAGTCTGTAAATGACTGATTATTTTTGAGGAAAGGTAATACTGATGTAGATAATCTTCTCTTGATGTTGTGCTACAAGACGTGTGTCAAGATTCACACAGGTATTTAGGCACTTAACTTCCATTTATCTCAAAGAAAGACTGCATTTGGATTCTGGGCCCAAGTTCACATAGCAAGATGTGTCTCAAGTTCATACTAACACGAGAAACTGATCTCCCAGGTAACCGAGATTTTTAACCAATTAAGTTGTGATGCTGTGTAGGTGGCGGTCATCATTACTGATTGAAATAAACATTAGAAGAAAGAATCACATCCAATTAAAACACTAATAGCTGATATCCGGTTGGGTTTTCAGGTCAAAAGCAAGCACAGCAGAACTTCATACTCTGATGTAGACAAGGATCAGACCATCTTTCTCACGTAACTTTCTACTAACTTCTGATTTTGCAAAGCTTCCAGTGAAATAGATGGGTATACAGCCTACGTTTCCAGGAGTAATGGCTGCTTCGTATTCCACTGCAGTTTCAGTCTGATGTGGTGTTTACCTCAGTTCTGACAGAAGTGCCACGAAGTATCTGCATAGTTCCATTGCAAATAAAGTTCAAAGGGTAAAGGAAAAGGCACAGGTAAAGTTTCAACAGAAGCCGGAATTTGAAGCAAGCAGAGAAGTTGCCTGTAGCCTACCATGATAGTTGTAATGGGGAGGGCATTGTCTCAGATTAGAAAAGCTTTTTAAATTGATTAGCAGTCACTTTTTTGGTGATTTGATCAAGAAAAATACTCATTAATTATATCGTCTTAAGGTATGCCATCATACAGCTGCCAAGAATTGTAGTCTCAACCCTCACGGTCTCCAGACCCATTGCTGCTTTGGAGTTATCATGGTGCTCAACTCCTCCTGCAGACAGCAGACCCCAGGAGCTAAATTAGAAGTTTAGTCATGCAAAATAATGAATAATCTCCTGGTTAACTTTCTGAATCAGCTCGGTGTGGGTTCAGATTAATGCCAGTACTGGTGCAAAGCAGAGGGGGCAGGAACAGGACTGGTTGCTGTTGGGCCTGCCTAGCTGAAAAAATACCTGAAAAACTCAGAATAGCGAAGTTTTTCCTTTCCTTCTTTTCCAAAGAAATGGACCAGCAACATGGTATTAACCCCACAGCTTTCCAGTTCTGCTCCCTATAAAACAAAACCCGGTATGATTAATTATCATGCATTGTATGATTATTAGTATCTATTCACCACAAATACGGAAATATTTATTTGAACTAGAATTTCACAAGAGATACTTGCAATTTAATGACAGTTCCCAACGCTATCACACAGGATTTCAGAGCTGTATAATTCTTTCACATCAACTGGTAATAGTGTATTACATGTTCTAAATATTCTGTGTGACAGATGAGTACAATTTACAACCACCTTCAGTGTATTTTATTACAAGAACGGAGAAGGTTGCTAGTTAAATCTTTAAAAAACCCTTATCCCTAGGTGAACAGAGGCTTTAAATAATGTTAACATCCTTGTAGAAAAGTTCTTAGCCAAATATTTCTACTTTGTTACAGCCATTTAAAAACAGGAATAACAGCCTTAAGAAATGAAACTAGAAAAATCCAAACATTCCCAGTGCTCTATTATAATATGGTCTTACAAAGCTTCTTGCAAATTTTCAACAGTAGTGACTTTTCTACACATTTTTTAAATCTGATGAAGAGATTTCTGCAGAAAATGGATGCACATTATTTCAATTCAACAGCATCTTTAACGAGCCTAAAACCACACATCATGCTGGATTTGTGTTCTATTCTTCTTTCAGCACTAGCATACTAGCATTTCTTTGACGCAACAAACCACTAAGCAACATGGAGATTTTTTTTTTTTTGTAAGTCCGGAGGGATTTCAACAAACTATTCTTATGACATCTAAATAGCCTCTGTGTCTTTTATCTGGTTGAAGATGTAAGATAAAAGACAAGAGTCTATTCATAAGATTTAATACTAACGGTTATTTAGCTTTCAGCATCATCAATAACAAGTCCCATTAGTCCACTCTGTGTTTCATGCTTACTGCATATGTGACACAGTTATTTTACAGTTAAAGAGGTAACATTCCTCATTCCTACTGCAAGCTACAATTCACTAAATGACAGTGATACGAGTTATGTATGAGTGAACCTAGAAAAAAACTTGTCAAGCCATATGCAAACTGTACTTATTGAACTTTTATCATTTAACTGTAGGCAAAGAATATTTAAATACCCACAAGATCCATCATTCTAAAGTTTAAACCTTCAGATTACTGTGAAGACTGATGCATAGACATTGGTATATGCTTTTTTGAAAGTCAAAAGTCAAACATTCATGTATGCTCTATTTTAAATTCAAATCCAAACTATTTATGTCAAAATGCAAAGTTTTCTAAGAAGAAACAGAGAAGAATCCACATATTTCTCACTGCAGTGAGATTCTAATCTACTTTGTGTTTTTGCTTAATGTTTACATTTGAAAAATGCAAGAAATAAATTTGCTGATGTAATTTTTAAAACTGAACTAATGATTACACAAGTTAGTGCTTCCAATTTAATTACTCCATATCAAAATCAGTGTTGTATTGAAAACAAACTGAAAAATTAGGTTTAAAGTAACCTTTTAAAAACTAAGCCTGTGACAGAAAAAGTTTTTTTCTTTTATTCATGTTTCTCTAATCACAGGCTAGCAGAAGACACACAAACAATACCTATCTCATCTCACCTAAGATGACAAAGCCTATCCCTGGATTTATAACAAATATGTACCTACTTGTTGGCTACCCTCTTTATCAGTTGAAATTCCGAAGTGGTATTGGCAGATGTCCAAACACTATGCTAGTGAGAGTTAAATGTATTTTAAACTACAAAACAGGACATTTCTTTAAAACAGAATATGCAATAGGAGACCACAGAGACTACAGCTTAAGGGTAAAATTTCAAAAAATTGCTTTTCCTAGAGTTAATGCTATTAAATGAAAGTACATGTTAGTACATAATTCCTTTTTGTCCACAGAATCATTAGGAGCTTTTGCTGTTGAACTGTATAAATTAGTACTGACATGACAAATCTCTGTTAGAAGATAATGAGAGCTCTATTAAATATTTCCAACACCTCACCCTCCTGAGCTTATGTAAAAGAATAACTTACATTTGGAATGTCTCTCTTGGCAATGAGAATAAAACTGTAACCTAATCCTTGAGCTCTAAAAAGGACCAGACTGGTAGCTTTGAGTCACAGAGCTACTATCTAAATTGAGTGAAAGTTTGTATTCTGGTGTATCTGGTGGCTTCAGCCCCGGGAGGGTGCACCACAGCAGCATTTTGGGCTGTGTGCTTTACAGAAAGCTGAGGCATAGAGCGGAGAAAGGATGGCGATGTTCTAAGCCTCAACTCGACACAAGCACGGGGTGCGGCAGGGACATGTATCTCAACTGGGAAACTCAAATGGGTTTCACGGTCCATTAGTTCAAAGAATCCCAAAGACCGAGCTCTGATGCCACACAAGTCTGTATGAACTAATGAACGCGTGTGTACATATTACAAACATAGGCTTATTTTCCTAAAGTAATATTAACATCTCGTACACTTCTCAAAAGCACCGTGAACTACTGAATTACGCAATTATTCCTTTTTAAGGAAGATCAGATAACGCAACATTTATTCCTTATTACAGACTGTTAACATAGAAGCCTGATGCTGCAAACACTGAGTCATAGGCACAGACCTATCTAATCCTGTAGCTCCCCTCTGAGCTTCTGACATTGAGGACCTGATACTGCAGCAAGTAGCAACAAGTGCCACTGAGAAGAAACTTATCACACAGTGAGACAGGATTTTCAGAATAATGTACCTAACTGATATTCAAAACTCATCTGAAATGTTAGTAGACTTACTGTCTCTAGATTCTCACTGCCTTTCATTGCAGAATTTGCCTGAGGCATGACTGCAAAGCATTCATCATGATTAAAATCTGTAATACGTTCCTTGTTCTCTTACTTGCTTCCTGGGAGATGGTATTTGCTGTGCAATGTCTTGTTTTGATAGAAATTGTGAAAATAATACATATTTTGGATTGAATTTTTTTTTGTTAAGATAGAAGGAGAGTGAATAGATGGAGAACAAGGGCAGAAAAGAGAGGAGGGTCAAGGAGACCCTCTCTGTTGCCTAGAGAAGCTGTGGCTGCCCCCTCCCTGGAAGTGTTCAAGGCCAGGCTGGATGGAGCTCTGAGCAACCTGGTCTAGTGGAAGATGTCCCTGCTCATGGCAGGGGAGTTAGAACCAGATGATCTTTAAGGTCCCTTCCAACCCTTACCATTCTATGCTTCTATGAGAACAATATCTTAGTTTCTGTCCACTAGTCATGTCCCAGATGAGGACTAAAGGTGAGACTAAATCTATGCAAATTTTTCTGAGTCCACTACTCTGAAATGCTCTTTGTTTTTCAACTGCAAGGTCAGTCAATTCATCATGCCAGGCTTCTATCCCTGGAGGCAATCTAGACTTCAGTCTAAGCAGCCTAGCCTTAAAGACTGCTCAAGAGCATCCAGCTTTCTGCCATTTTGAGAGTCTCCAAGATGCTGGGATATATCCTACAACTCAGTTCTGGGAAGAAGGTTTAAAAGACGCATCCATTATGAAATTAATCCTGCCAGGCCAAGCACACCCATTTGCAGCATGTGCAAAACTCCTGGCTCTCGGTGTTAAAACCGATTCAGATGGACTGTGACCAGTTCCCCCACTCTGCTGTCCAAATGCGTGCCCAAGCAGCCTGTGTCTGGGTTGCCACTCCAAGTTTTGGTTTCCACAAAATACCAACGGAGCATGCTTATGTGCACCATTTCCAGTTTATTCTGATTAATTTTACAAGCAAATGCGCTAGGTAGCCTTCAGAGATTATGACCAGATTCCTACTGTTTTGAATCAAGGACTAGAGCTGTTAGCGCAAAGCCAAATCACGTGTCTTTCCTGGCCTGTCAGGAGCCTACACTGCTATCTAGCTTCTCTAGCTATATAAAGTGCTTCAGACTAGGTTAAGTAGCAGAGACTACAGGAATAGCCTTGCCTCACATCTTTGCAATGGAAAGCAATGCTACTGTGACCAAAACGGGCTTCCAGATGAATTCCTCATGGGAGAGATTTTTGCTACCCAAGCCATATTCAATGGTCTTGCAGAATGGGTACCTAGAAAGACGTCTGAAAGCATTTTTCTTTGTCTCTCTTGTGGTTATAATGTCATCAGATCACATGGAAAAATAAAATAATTTCCTCCTCCATGAGGTAAACAATGACCCAGCAGTTTTTTAATAGCTTAATATTTTGATGCCACATGGCTTGGTTCTTTCTGGGTTTTACTTGCCTGGAGAGTTTCTTTTAAAGCATGCAGGAACATCATCTTGATCTAAAGTATCTAAAAGCTTTCCAAAATAATTCAATGTTAATCTGCTGATACAGAACATATGCATTTATGTTGGAGAAGATAGGTCAAGAAAAAACATGCATTCCACCTGAACTGAGAGGTGACAAGATTAATGACACACTCTTTTGGGGAGGGATATTAACATTAGTCTTGGACCAGAGTCTTGCAAAATTTGCTGTGCTACACCCCTGTCACAGAGTATTGCTGCACTAGAAGAGCATAGCTCTCAGCCACCACCTTCTTCCCTTCAGTTTAGGCAGTCTTTGGTTATTCCGGGACCAGGGCTTTGCAGACTTTGAAGCTATGGATAGAAAACTTTAATTAGAAATTCTAGGGGAGCAGATGGGCAGGTTATGACTGACTGCATAGTCTCTGTGGCTCAGGAGATCAATTGCAGTGCTGCAATGTCTGAAGGCCCAAGTGTAAAACCTTGTGCTGACCAGCTAAGTGGTGATAAATGTGTGAATGACCAATGCCATTCATCTCTCTTAGGATGAAAAGAAAAAAAAAAAGAGAAGTAGACAGGTTAAAACAACTGATACACAATCAATAGGAAAATATCCACTTCTGGGTCTAAAAGTATACTGCTTACAGTCAGACTGAATTTTAGCTGAAAAGTTTTCTATTTAAAAGAGATTAACAGTCCCCAAGTACTAGTTAAGTGTTTTAAATAAAACATGTAAATGAGATACTTTGTATGAAAATGTGTTCATTATGGAATCCAGAAGCATGTTTAATCATTTGGAAGTGAGACAATACACATATTATTTCCCAACATGAATTCCATTTTAAGAACAAATACAGAACATTCTGTATTGCCATTCCTTTCCGAGCGATAAGTAAAATTAATTTCTAAGTTTCACCAGTACACAAAGCATATTAAATTAGTGGTATTGAAACTACTTGATAACTCATTAATCTAAATTGAAGGGCCCAGGAGCAAAGTCCCTGATCTAGACGACTGGGCTGTACAGTAGATATCTGCAATCATTAGCGTTGTTTTCACTACCTGGACACTAATGCACATACCATGTATTCTTTTAAGGAACTCAGAGCATTAATACAAAAACAACTAGTGCTGTTCACTGGGCAACACCTTTTTCAAAATACACCAAACTCTTCTAGCTCATGCCCTTTCCTATAACACTACACCACTTCCAGGCAAGGAGTCTGCCCCTCCTCTTCTGTGAAGCATGGTCAGATGCTCAGCTGGATGTCTCACATGAAGCAGAACAGCTGTGCTAGGAAGCCAGGTGCAAGCATTCCCTCTGGGCTGTGGCAAGATGGGTGAGGTGAGATAAGTCACTGCCTCTGTTGACTTCTGCACCATTTGCTCCGGTCTAGTCAGAAAGAACCAGCTCGCCAGTCTTGTACATCTGCCTGCATCTCTCCTTCGCTGTGTGCAGGCATGCCTGTGCTATGAGTAAATCAGATTGCCTGCTCTGCAAAAGTCAGCATGGAACTTCCCAAAAGACTGGGCCAGTTAAGGCAGGTCGTTTTTTTTTTTTTTAAATAAAACAGCCAATTTCTTTTTTAAATTATAATATTGGAAAAAGAAAACAATATTGGATTTTTTTTTTAATTATGATATTGGAAAAAGAAAATCCTTCAGCTGAAATACATTTATCTGGATAACCAAGTCCACTGCAATCCCATTCAAAGGCCATTACTAAGTGTTGAAATTCTGAATTTTAGACGTGCAAGCCAAAGTATCAGTAAAAGAGGCAGAGACACAAGCACCTGCGAGCACAGCAAATTAACTCCTTTTTCTTTTCCTAACACAGTATCTCAAGGAGTACTGAGTGATATCTCCATACAGTAAATGAATGACTAGGACCTCTGTCTACACACTGGACAAGGAACATATCTGGATATACTTGGTGGTTAAATAAAGTTGCAGATTACCATTTATACCTTATTTTCATAAGTCAAGAGACATTTTCCATCTGGTATCAGAGACTGGGGTTACCTCGAAAAACCAGCAAACTCATAAGCAAATTGTAGAAGTTGAGTGGAAATAAAGAACTATCCCAAACACCAAACTTCTGTTGCAGTATCTCAGCTTTCAAAGAACATAATCAATTTAAAAACTTTAAAAAAACTTTGTATTTTCTAAAAATTTATATTTTACCTGCTTTGCTTGAAAGTAATACTATGATGGTCACAATTATTAAAAATAAGGGGCAAAAACATATGCACTGACTACATTGTGTAGTCAGATTCACTGCTTATAATCAACTTCTTTTGTGAGAGAGAGACAGAGACAGGAGAGAAAATAAAAATCAGAAGAAAAGTGATAATGTGGACTTTGCCAAGCAGAAATATAAAGACCAGAAGAATTTCAAGATAGCTGTACTCCCCAAAGCTATTTAATTCTTCTTTTGAACAGACTATAATTACATTTATAATCTGCTAAGAAACTGCATTAAATATTTTCTGGTTACAATAACGTCAGATTTTTCTCAATGGAGAATTCTGAAGACAAAATTTGAAGCAAGATAAAATACAGACATTCAGGCTCGGGTATTTAATTAGCTCTCAATAAGCTTATGTGTTTATAACTAAATCTGTCCAACTGTATCAAAGTTTCTCTGGAAATTTTATACTATAGCTGTGCATTCATGCAGAATAAAGATGCTTTTTCTTTCACTGTCATGGCAGCTAAGTCTCAACTGAAATTGGTTTTGAGGAGCAGACAACCCTATTAATCCCACCTATTTTAATCTGGTGACTGATGAAAAGATTCAAAAAAGGAGATGGTTGTTAGTCAGTCAGACAATTTCTAACTGTACTCTGGATGCATACTGAGGGAGCAAAACCTTTATGTATCAGAAGACAGTTTGTGTTTATGCCTAGTAAATATTAAAGGTTTTAGCAATGCTGTCACTTCCATTTTTTCCCCAGGCAGGTGAAAAAGTAAAGAACACAAGCTGAACCAACTCTTTGTAGACAAAAACTGCTGATGCATGATAGGTTTATAAAGCAGAGCCCTGTATAAATTTCTTATAAAATGCTTCCAACACGAGCAGTCACTGCCCCAGGCCTAACTACCCATTTTCAGTTTATGACTGAAAGCAAGTCTGTAGTGAGAAAAATATACTTCAGCTACACCATCCAATTTAAGCATGCAACAAAAGTAGTGCTGCTGATGCATGCAGCATCTTACAGTAACAGATAATCCATCTGCACTCTCCCCCTCCTTCGCTCCAGTTCATCAGCTTCTTCTGAGGTGTTTTCAGTGTGCTCAGGACTTTCTCCTCTCTGTTTTCAGTCTCGTTCAGTCTCATCCAGGCTAAAGAACACTTTGTCTCTGTGCTATAGACTGAAGAAGAGATGGCAGCTGGCAAAGCCTCCGCCTGGGGAAGCAGGCAGGGTGCAGGGGCACTGCCATTTGCTACTGGGCTGCAATCCAGTGAAACTTCTAACCCAGCTGGAAGATCATACTCTAAGATTGTTTCTTCTGGTCTGCGTCTACACCACTTCTTTCTGGAAGTGGACCTAGCTGAATTAATCCTTGCCTTGGTCACCTCAGTGACAGTAATTACATTTCAAACCACTCAGAATAAACTGGTATTACTGCAACAGCAGCATCTATGTTTTAAGGTATCAATTTCTGTTCAGAAAGCCACCTTTTCTCATATGGCAATGCAGAATTTTTCCTGAGTTTTTCGTAAGTAAGAGAGAGTCACTTTGAAACAGAGGCTTACAGAAACTAAGTAACGGAGTGACTACACAGTATTGAAATACATTAATTGCATACATTTCATCAGGAGATTCAGAAGTGACAAACATTTCTCTTCCCCAGTCAGAAATTAGTTGATAAACCATGCACTTTCATTTAATTAAAGCAGTAATACTGACGCTTATATACTTATGTAAAAACTCTGAAAAAATAACAAAGTTCACAGGAAATATGACAATGCTTCTGTCAAGATAAATGTATCTCTATTTTCATACCCGAAACACTGTTTCATCTCCAGCTGTTTTCAAATCATCTTCCTTCCCAATGATTCTCTGTAGCTGTATTTGTTAAAACATGAAAAAAAACCACAGGAAAATTACAAATTTGGTCTTATAAGAGACTCCTTTTTCAGAAACTTGCATTAATTTCACCTTTTCTTAATTACACAGTCATTAAGTTTCTGAAACGTTCTCTAGTCATGACAGAGTATTTGCATACTTAAGGATATCTTGCTGTTCAGACACACTTCTTCCAAGGAAAGTTTTATCTACTGCAGTTAATACAGCCAAGCAGAGCATATGCATCTACCTCCTGCAACCCAGCACTTACTCTATTTTTAGAGGTGATTTTCTTGCACTAGAAGCTTAGCATTCACTCCATAGGATTTTGAAACTCAGTGGTATAACATCAAGGGTCATTTGGGAAATAAGAACTATCCTGTGATTTTCCTGCTGTCCTCCTAGACAGCTTTGCATAGTTCTGCTACAGACATGATCTTCTAGACATGAAAAACGTACCTGTTCAAATGAGGTACTATACGACTAACAACAAAGAATAATTTAATTAAATATGCAAACATATTTTCAGAACTGGCATTAAGCAGAACGCGGTTTGAGTTTCCCCTCCACCCCACCAATAAATGAATCTTGAATGTATTGCTAAGAAGATTTTTAGCATTACTGAAATGACTCACATTCAAAAACATAACCTCCACTGTCCCAAGCAGAGCTTTAAGGTAATACAGAAAGCGCATTAATTGCAACACCTCAAGCATATCTCAGCTGCAAGGTTTCTTTGACTGTATTTTAGCTTGGGAGGTCAACACCGCCACAAGAATAAGTGATTTAATACAGCACAAGGTATACCTACCTTTCACAGACATCTGCATGAATCCTCAAAAGGTCAGCAAAAACGAAAAAACACGGGACATTACATTTCAGGTATAGATATGGACAGACACCGATCACTCTGGATTTGGAGACTTTATGAAAGCTTTTAAAGCTCAGGGATTTTGAGGCTTCTGGTTTGCTTCTCAAGCGTTTCTGAGTGATTCCTCACACTGCCCATTAAAACTGGGGAAAAAAATCCATAACCAAATTTGCACAGCCATTATTTCATGGGGTTTTCAAATCCCTTCTTAGGGCTTTATTTATGTTGCTCTTTTTTTTTGTTAAGTTGTTCAGAGAAGCAATATGGGCTTGTAAGTAGTGAGGAGGAAAAAAACCCACTGTTTGTGCTGCCAATGGTCTTTCCTTGGCCTCCAAATTTTGCTAACACCTGATCTGTTTTTTTTTGAGTCTCAGTTTTTGAGTTCCTCAGGATAGTTACTTTCTATTAATATTTTTCAACGGCATGCGTTGATAGTATTTATCAAAATAAATACTGTAAAATAAGACAATTAAACAGTAACAGTTCTTCAAGTTTCTGCAAATCCTTTTCATTTTTGATCACTTATAAAACAATTGACTAGTACGGTAAAAGCATTATGAATTTCTTCACAACAAAACAGCAATATAGAGCTCTGGATAAACCCACAACTGCTTGTCCATATTCTCACTGAAAAATTAATTTTTTTCTTATCTGAAAAATCCATCTTTTGCTCACACACAAGATATACAATTGAAAATACTTTCCAAACAAGAGGAAATAGGATTTTTTTCTTCTGGATTTTATTTTTAGATTACTCTTAAAAAAATCTGCAGAGACTACTAAAGAGCACACATATAGAGCATAATTTTTTTCACAAGTGTTCTGGAAGATTTAGTTTATTGTTTTCTTACACTGTATGTAAATCCTTATAGTGCTTGAAACTATTTCCAGTAGTTTGCAGATTTTTTCCAGCACAATGTAGCAACTACTACAGAGGGAGAAGAATTCTGCCCTTGAGAAATGGACTCTAATACTTAAATGCTCCATGTAACATTTATCTGCATTTAATATTTATATCTGTACATCATTGGAAGATACTAATGGCTAATTCAAAGATACTGAGACCTATTACGCACAACTGATGCCTCTTTAGTAAAGACAGACAAGAAGTAATCTTTTCTGAAGAAGAAAAGAGCTGGCAGAAAGTTACGTCAGTCTTAAAAAAAAAAAAAGGTGATTTTGCATCTTCCAGTTGTCTGAGAGAGATCAGTGCTTGTGGACGCTCTAGGACAGGCGTTCTGTACCGAAGCACCACAACTGCTGACAGTGTTGGGTGCTGGTTCATTCAGCCCTCGATGAACTCTACAAGTTTTTTGCGGCATCTGCCATCCAGGACAAGTGTATAAAGACAGTCTACTCAGAAAGTCTAAATCACATAGCTCGTGCATGTGCCACCAAAGTTACTCCATTTGCAATAGTTTCGAACTGTCATTAAATTTACCTAGAAATCTTTCACCAGGACAGAGGTAGGGAAATTCCTCACTTGCTGGGGATTTTGGGATCTTTGGCAGCCTTATTCTTGATGGGAGGTCTCAGATTAACATGTATGGGTTATTATGTGGATGTCTGGAAAACCCCCTCACCAAGTCTCATGTGAATGGCTTGGAAGAGCAGAGTTCACAGAAGTATCTTACTGTCCTCAGAAAGATGCAGATAATACGGCTTTGAGAAATGATTCTTTGCACTCTGGCGGGGGCTGATCAAAAGATGGCAACTAACACCTGTGAATATGTAATTTCTACTACACCTTCTTCACCTTGGTGTTGCAGGGCAAAGCAACAAATCCTTGCAGATGCCCACCTCAAAATACAGATTCTGGGCCCTAATACTGAAACGCCTCTGCCACCTCAGCCTAGTGGCAGAGCTGAAGGAAGAAGTGGAGAGGCTGAGGAGCATCCGGGAGTGTGAGAGGGAGATCGACTGGTGGAGCCGCTCCCTGCCCTCCCTGAGGCAGAGGCAGCAGGAGGCGGCTCCACAGAAAGCAGAGAACCCCCTACCCCTCTTGCCACCGAGCAGAAAGAGGGGACCTAAGAGATGGGGGGGAATGGAAACAGGTCCCTGCTCGGGGTGGCAAGCGAATCTCCCCCCGGCCTCCCTCACCTGCCCAGTTGCCCTTAAGCAACAGATATGGGGCTCTGGAATGTGAGGGACCGGCCACAGAGGATGTG